ATATATATATATATATATATATATTATGATCGTTGACTGTTGTCATTCGACGGTAGGCAAACATCACATCGAATGCTCACCCTGTTTCATTATGTAAAGACACAAAGGAATTTCTCCTTTGGTCGGATCTGGAACGCCGATTACGGCGGCGTCCACGACGTCAGGATGGGCCAGCACGACGTCTTCCAGGGCGGACGTGGACAATCTGTGACCGGCGACATTGATAACATCATCGTCGCGCGCCATCACGTAAACATACCCGAATTCATCTTTGTAGCCAACGTCCATGGTATCGTAGTAACCCTAGTTTTCGCCAATTAAATCGTCAACGTACAATCGAAGGTATACATATACAGGGTGGGTCAAAAATTTCTTCCCACCTATTTTTTTTTTCTTTTTAACAAAACGAGATACAAAAAAAATTAATTTTATTAATTTCATTAACCTAAATTTCATTAACTTAAATTTAAGTTCAAACATAATTTCTTTCATTGTATTTTAAAAATCTGTAAAAAAGAAAAAGAAATTAAAAGAAATATGTAATAAAAAAATCACGAATTTATTTTAGTTGGAGATGATTTTTGGCCCATCTTGTATGCATATTTAATTGCTTCAATTTCCACAATAAGTAGTCAAAAAGCTATCTACTGGTATCTGCTGAAGCGAAACTTACTGGATACGTGGAAAAGTATATTTCCTTGAATCTGTCGTCATTTTGATAGAGAGTCGACAGGCAGCCGGGCGGTAGCGGTAACTTTATTGCGATTCTACCTAATTCATGAGCCTCCGCCTCGCTGTTGTTTTCTCGTAGTACGTCAACTAGATAAAAAGGAATGTCATTCGTATGCAGCTTAGTAATGGCAACTAAGTGTTGAACTTCGTTGCCGTGCGCACTTAACGGCAATAATTTTTTATGACTCATAACCTGGAACTCTTGGGGAGTTGCTATGTGTACCGAAAGAGAAATTAGTCATATTTAACTGATTATCTCGAGCGGCTAATCCGGCCCCAAGGACCTTGGGAAATATCTGGTAATAAAACATTTTCAGCAACTGACCACACACAAACACCATTGCCCAACATTTTCACTTTCACTTTCACTTTCCATTCCATGTGTTTTGGACAAAATGTAATCTGATTAATGATTAACGATTACGATTAACACAACGTAAAATTTCCATCAGAGATGTTAAAGTAAAAAAAAAAAAAAAAAAAGAAAAAAGAAACTGTACAATGAAGTGCACAAACTTTTATGAAAAGTCATTTAAATTTCTAAAAATACATTGTTTTACACTTACAAGATATTCGACGAAAATTGCAAACTGATCATTTTGATCACTTGGACACATAGGTCCATAGGTGTTAATAAGGAGGATATCAATCATGATTACTCATCATCAAATAACCAGCTTCGAACTTTTTCATCATTTATTTAAAAGTTATTTAAAGGACGTAGAGAAAAATTGATGGTGTTTGAGTTTTATTTCAGTTGGTAGGATCAGATTAATTAGGTCAGAGTGTAAACCAAGACTAATGACAATTTGTTGTCTGTTGTTTTGTTGTAAATTTTGAGTGGGAGTTGACAATGAAAAATTGAGAGTGGGCAGTTTATTTTTAAATTTCAGTTGTGGTAGCAAAAATAGGAAAAATGGTGAAATATAGGGATGGGAATAGAGTTGAACAGTAATCAGTTACTTTGTAATCTATTACTAAATTTAATTATAGTAATCGTAATCATTAATCGGTTAATCATTGTTAAAATAAGTCAGTTAAAATAAATTTTGGTAAATCTTGATTAACTTTTGTAATTTGTAATCGTTAATCTGTAATTTTTAAATTGTTAAATGATTAACTTGTGTTTTATTATGGTGTTATTTCTTCACGTTGTTTTCAAACGTGTTAATCAGAGTTGTGCTATGTGATATAACTAAATATTATCATTGGAAACCACTTGCAGTTTATAATGGACCCAACAGTAGACCAAAACTAGAAAGAATATCTATGCATTCTATTTTTCGCTGCATAATCAAATGCAATATCTGCACTGTTTGTACATTTATAATAATTTATTAAAGTTCATAATTCTCTGATATAAGAACAAGTGTGTATCATAATGAAGTTTATCTCAAAAGTTTATCGTTAAAGTCTATCTTCATACAAAAAACTGTCTATAGAAAAAATTGTATACAGAACTACAAGGTGAGATTTTTAATTGATTTTTGGAATATTTGGATCAAATTCTGATAAAATTGCATGATTGTACACATTGCAAATAATAAATATGTAATTTCTACAAAATATACACACAGTTCTGTTGATAAAAATAAACTACTGATACAATCATAATTAAAAATGTAATAATTTCACGATTAATAATTGTTCAAGTAATCTTAATCTTTGATTACAATGATTGAAGCAAATTACCAATACAATCATAATCAAAAGTGTAATCATTTTATGATTAATGGTTGTTCAAGTAATCTTAATCTTTGATTACAATGATTGAAGTAAACTACAGATACAATCGTAATCAAAACTATAATAATTTTGTGATTAATGGTTGTTCGAGTAATCTTAATCTTTGATTACAATGATTGAAGTAAACTACTGATACAATCATAATCAAAACTGTAATAATTTTGTGATTAATAATTGCTCAAGCAATCACAACTTCGATTACAACGACTGATAGCAAACTCACTGCGATAACCGGGGATCGGTAGACCGGTGCTGTATTTCGGTAAGCTAGGATTGTGCCCGTATCCTAGACACAACGCCGTAATAGGATGCCCCGTTTCCGACTGCCACCAGTTGTTCAGAATCGGTACTTTGAACGCCTTTTCCGCCCAAATTTTCGTCTCGTAATCGCAAAATTCTCCAGCGACGTATACGGCTTTCAAACTACGAAAAGCAAACGCGTGTTTGCGATTTGAAATTTCTTTGACAGTTTTCTATCTTTTTTTTTTTTTTTTTTTATAGAAATACATACGACTTCATCGAGTATTTTCGACCCAGCAATAGCTCCGGATCGGCGCGTCTTATAACGCGGAGGGCAGTCGGTACGCAAAACAACGCGTTCACGCGGTGTTGATCGATCAGCCTGTAGAAAAGCGAAAGAATTACAGCGAGTCCTCGTGAGCGTGAAACGTTTCATCTCATCACCGAGTTCAGAAGCAATTTCGTTAAAAATAGAAATTAGCTGGGCAAATGTGAGCCGTGTCCGAACGAAATTGAAAATAATAGCCGAAGACGTGGAACGTTTGTATCTGTTACCGCGGAATTTGTTGTATTGTAATATCGAGCAAGATCTAGGTTAGATGTTGAAACCTAAAGTATTGCGCTGCGTCGGGTGTCCTATCGGGTTTCCCTTCGTACATTACGCTGGTGGCACCGTAGAGCAAAGGTCCATAGCAAATGTAAGAGTGTCCGACCACCCAGCCCATATCCGAAGCTACCCACCAGATGGAATCCTTGTCCATATTGTACACCGTCTTCATTGTCCAACAAACAGAAACCAAGTGACCACCGACTGTTCTTAAAATTCCCTTCGGTTGACCTTCGGTAAGATAATTTGATTTAACGGTTCCTTTTCCTTTTGTAAAACAGATTTTAGTAGATATAATAGATAGTTTCTATTCTGGATAAAACTTACATTCAGTAACCTGAGTAACCTTCAGGAGATTTTTACAATCGTCGCCCGTTTTCATTTTTTTTTTTTTTATTATTATTATAAAAAGTTATCAACGAAAGACATTTACAGAAGGCAACAGTTATTTTGCAATACACTAAGTCGTAATTTTTGGCTATTGATTGTGAAATCTCAAAACATAGAACTATCATCCATTCTGATTAAACTGATTCAAACCTAACTTATCCCCGTAATTAAATTCAGAGTGGATTAGTTTAAATTATTCCAGAAGTATGTTAGGTCAGGCTTGATTTCACAGAAAAATTTCATTCAGTAATAATCAAATATTAGAAGCTATCAAGTATATATGACCTTATTACAAAATCAATCTTTATTTTTAATAACTTTCTAAGAAGCAACGAGCGAGGGCTAAAATCCCTGTTGGATGTTACTTAGGAGAATGTTCCTGGCAACATTTATAAAGATCAAGGTCATTGGAATTACCTCTCTGAAACGTAGGTTTTATCCCATTTTTCCTACTTACTCTTTCTTCATGCGGAACAAATGAATCTATGATTAAAAGTACATGACACCGGCTCATTTAATCGTTTAATAACTTTGCTGACTTTGAGTAAAATATTGAAATTCGTATCATACAATTCAGAGTTGAAAATTAACAAAACTATGCGAGACAAATATTTCGACGTACTGTACAAAGAGAGAAACGTTCACAAATTTGATCTTCTCCGCAGATAAATACTCATCATAGAAACGTTTGATACAGTTAATATTTTTATATTATTTCCGTACAAGCTAGGACGATACCTGTTGTTCCCGAGGTATACAAAATATATAAAGGAGCGTTAGCCTCAACCGGCTGACACGGATGAGGCTTCGACCTTTTCATCACGTCATCCCAATCGACTTGATCTTCTAAAAGAGGGCTCTCCCAGATGTTTCTCCTTTGAAATACGATGCACCGCGGTTTTTTCACGGTGATAATCTTCATAGCGCCGTTTAACATGTCGGTGTATCTACGTTTAAAATAGTGCTCCAATTACGAATTTTTCTAATGAAGATTTTCCCTATCATTCCAGAGTGTGTGTTAAAGATTGTACCGGATGATCTTTGATGGTTCCAGGCCGCAGCTGGCAGCGATCACCACCTTTGGCTTCGCATGATTTATTCTGCTGGCCAATTCGTTTGCCGCAAAACCTAAAATAAATATCATCGTTTGCAACTTGTCTTTTACTTTACCTAATATCATTTAGAATCTTGTTTCATTGTTTATGTAATACAATAAAAGATTGTTAGTTTCTTATTGTATTATATTCTCAATATAAGTATATAGTTTCTTATCTTCAGTATAATACAATAAGAAACTGCTAGTTTCAATCTTCAACATAATACAAAGTGTACAGAGCATAGGTGTCCAACCTTTTAGATCTTTCTAAGCCTCATTGTTCAATAAAAGTTTGTTGATTTTACATATTTTTTTTATCAGTTCAATTGAAACAACTTTTATAGTGAAAGAATACATTGATTAGAAAAATATATTTACATTAATTAAAAAAATATGAAAATTTTTATTGAAAACATTGAGCTTGTTTTTTTTTTAGATATCAGTTTATGAATATCTGGTTTGATACAGGTAGTGGCAATATCTGAGGAGTATTTTCAAGATGCTCGTCTAAAATTGTTGTTCTTATTTCATTTCTTGTGTGCCTCACATGGGGAAAAAAATCTGTTCACAAATATAAGTGCTCTTCATAGTTCATGGAAAAATAAAAAATAAAAATTAAAATTAAAAAATAAAAATTATTGAAATAATAAAATTCTTATTCAATTATTCCAATTTTGGTTATACAACGGGCCGCGGGTTGGACATGGAGCGTTCTACAGGTGGAATGATCGATTTCTAGAAATGGAAAGTAGTACGAGTCAACGTATTCACCGCCCAGGAGTCAAACATATCGCTGACTACGAATTTAGAAATACTTTTACCGCCAAACACGACGGAGTGAATTGCACCGAGCCGCGTGGTCGCCAAAATCGCCATTATGGTCTCAGGGATTAACGGCATGTAGATAATCACTACGTCGCCTTTGTTTACGCCCATTTCAGCTAACGCACCAGCCAGCAAAGATGTTTTGTCTAAAAGTTCGTTGTAGGTTACTTTCCGGATCGTTGATATTTGAGGGCTGTCGTGAATCAATGCCACTTTGTGTCCATTTCCAGCAAGAACGTGTCTGTCTATCGCATTGTAACATGCATTCAATTCTCCACCAACGAACCTGTAAAATGAAGAAAATAAAGTAAATATATCATTTTGATGTTACATTTGGTGAGAAATATCGATAAGTGTGCAATTATTTCTACATTCGATTTAAATCGAAGGTCGGAAATGTTCGATAGATTTGAGTGACGGATTGGATTGAACGATAAATATCGATATATGTACACAATTATTTTAACATTCGAAAGAATTTAAGTCGAAGATCGAGAACAATCGATAGATTTGAGCGCAGATGATAAATATCGATAAGTATAGAATTATTTTAACATTCGAAACGACTTAAAACGAAGATCGGAAATGTTCGGATAAATTTGAATGAAGGACGTATCGACAAGTATGTATATAATTATTTTAACATTCGTTTGATCGACTTTGAGTGAAAAATGAACTTTTACCATTTTGTAAATGGTTGTTTAGTATTATCCAGCACTTTCTCCCAGGGTTTACTCCAATCTATACAGTGCGCGACTTCGCCCCAAAATCTTTCAGGATTCTCCAAAGATTCTTTGTAAGCTTCGTCGTACTTCGGACAGGGAATATGATACGGATTGACGATATAATCTACAAAAAGAAGGATCACACGATTTTTCAACTCAGGAGATCTCTGACAGAGAACGAAATTTTCACTCTGAAAGAAAAAAAAGAAAGATAATACGGTCTATCGCGACGAATGTTAATACCTATATCGATAAAATTAATTCTCTCTCACATACACACGCACATACACAGAGACCACATACATATTATAAATGACAATCATTTTACTAAAAAGGTTAAGTGTCGCAAGGTTTTGAAACATTTGACCTTCCCAGTGTATATCTATGCTTTGTTTTCTAAAAGAATGTTGCATATTTAGGAATTGATCAACAAATGCGGCTCCTGCTATTAAAATTCTACACATTAAGAGTCATATTCATAAGACGAATTAAATCTTTTAACAAAAAGGGAAAACAAAACAGAAGCCATTGTACTCATTGCAGTGAGACAATAGTTTCAATACCGCAATCTAGAGGACACTTCTTTAACTATATTCAGAAATAACAGGCTACTATATAGGGAGGGTCGCAGAAATTTTAGCAAAACTAAAAAATTAATATGAACATTTAGCTATGTCTTTAATACATGATAAAATTATATGTACACCAAAGACTTATTTTCGAATAAATTTTCCTTATGATTCATTATCAGCAAATGTTTTAATTCGTTATTTTCTAGTTTACAGACCTCTATATACCCAGGGTCGCGAAAATATTTGCTCGGGTGAAACGGCTGACTGGCCAAGTGAAAAAGTTTGAGAAGCCGTGGTCTATAGCAAATTTCGGCGGTGTGTTGAATTAAAGCAACATTGACTTCTGTAATCTGCATCATATGGCTCGCGTTTTATGAATATTTAAAAGGCCATTCGGATCGCTGTCTTACCGATATTTTTCTTTTTTTACTTCCGCCGATGAATAATTCAATGCAAGTCGCCGGTACTAAGTTCATAATGATTTCCTGTGCTGCACGCGATCTTTTAACATATTTTCCACGACTTTGTGTTTTAATGAATTTCATCGTATCGTGCGAACACGATCTTGAATTCATCAACGCTACTTAGCATAATTGAAGTTTTACATTTATTGTGCCTATTGGGTAACGAGCTTAGGCGCTTCTCTCACTCCTAGATTCTTCTAGGTTATTGTCAAC